CAGAACTCAAGGTGTAGCAGGGCAATCCTTGGATTTCAGACGCATCACTCCAATCTCTGCCTCTGTCACAGCGTTCTCCCCCTGTGTCTTCACATCGTCTTCTTATGAGGACATCAGTGATACTGGACTTAGGGCCCAGCCTTCTCCACTATCACCCCGTCTTAACTAGTTACTTCTGCAATAACCTATTTCCAGATGAGGTCACATTCTGAGGTACTGCAGTTAGGACTTTAGCATATCTTTTTGCAGGACACAGTTCAACCCGTAACAACTGTATAGGTCAAATAAGACGCACATGAGGGCCAGATTCAGCCAGAAGGCTGTCAGCCAGCTGACAGGTACAGGTGTTCCTCCTCCGTGTTACTACAGCACCTGCCTGTGTGTGCAGTGTACCTGTCTCTAGCACAGCACCTGGTACACTGTACAATAATCTTCACTCTGCTTTGATTTCCTCTTACACTGCAATGCCTTGAAGGCAGGAATAATTTATTATTTTCATCCTCAGCACCAGTATGAAACCTGCCACATAGGATTCACTCACCAAATGTTTGTTGAATAGAAGAAGAATGGTTCTAAGACCCTCTAATATTACACTTTGGCTCAGATCATTGGGCCCATTACTTAACTTCTCTTAGTCTCTAGTTTGCTATTTTGTAAAATGGGATTAATCAAATCCAACCCGGTAGAACTTCTGTGAGTAAAGAACCCAGCCCAGTGCCATGATTCAGAAAGGGTTGGCGTACATCCTTTTGCTGCTTTTCCATTTCTGAAGGTGTGGGGACCCACTCAGAATGCTCAGAGTTGTTCTAAAGATTATTTTAGGCTGAAGACATTTGAGATTTAACAGATGTAGAAAGAAGCCTTCTCCAAGCCTCCCCTTATCTGACTAAAAGTAGAAATTTCTGAGAAATGAGGCTGCCCTAAAATCTCTCTTTGGCTGCATAAACAAACAGCACAAACTTTCTTATCTCCCATTTGATTTTTCTCCTAAAAATCCATTTGTCTGTCCTAAAGAAATATATTTGTTCTTCCCATAGAAGCTGTTAGATATACAAGCCTCTAACTTTAACCATTTAACTAGCCAGCTGCTTCTTTTATTGGCTTCTGTGTGTATACCAATAAACCTTTTTTCTCCTGTTAATTGTCTGTCAGTTTAATTCACAAGCCCCAGGCACTAAACATAAGAGGGTAGTGAAAAAAACTTTTTCCTTCCCTATAAAGGCTTTGGAACAGAGCTATTTTTTCATTTGTGGCTGTGTGGCTTGACTATGTATAAATGCAAACATCCCAGCATATTATCTTAACAAGGATGGACGATTCTGCCAAAATAAGTGTGATCATTATTACTCTCATCAGCTTCTAGCAACTCTAAGATCATGTCTGTTTTTTTTTTAACATCTTTATTGGAGTATAATTGCTTTAAAATGGTGCGTTAGTTTCTACTTTATAACAAAGTGAATCAGCTATACATATATGTATATCCCCATATCTCCTCCCTCTTGCGTCTCCCTCCCACCCTCCCTATCCCACCCCTCTAGGTGGTCGCAAAGCACCGAGCTGATCTCCCTGTGCTATGCGGCTGCTTCCCACTAGCTATCTATTTTACATTTGGTAGTGTATATATGTCCATGCCACTCTCTCACTTCGTCCCAGCTTACCCTTCCCCCTCACCATGTCCTCAAGTCCATTCTCTACGTCTGCGTCTTTATTCCTGTCCTGCCCCTAGGTTCTTCAGAACCATTTTTTTTTCTTTTTCTTTTAGATTCCATATATATATGTTAGCATACAGCATTTGTTTTTCCCTTTCTGACTTACTTCACTCTGTACGACAGACTCTAGGTCCATCCACCTCACTACAAATAACTCAATTTTGTTTCTTTTTAATGGCTGAGTAATATTGCATTGTATATATGTGCCACATCTTCTTTATCCATTCATCTGTCGATGGACACTTAGGTTGCTTCCATGTCCTGGCCATTGTAAATAGAGCTGCAATGAACATTGTGGTACATGACTCTTTTCGCATTATGGTTTTCTCAGGGTATATGCCCAGTAGTGGGATTGCTGGGTCGTATGGTAGTTCTATTTTTAGTTTTTTAAGGAAACTCCATACTGTTCTCCATAGTGGCTGTATCAATTTACATTCCCACCAACAGTGCAAGAGGGTTCCCTTTTCTCCACACCCTCTCCAGCATTTATTGTTTCTAGGTTTTTTGATGATGGGCTGGACCATGTCTGAACCACAGATGTCCACACTGACACCTCTCTCCCTTACACAGGACTAACAGGCAGCACATTCACTAACAGTGTTAAAATGTAGATGCTTGCAAGGGAAAAAGAAAAGAATACATACCAGCATGAGTTATTTCTGGATGAGACCATTTTTAAATTTCCTTTTTTGGGCTTTATTTTCTAAATTTTCAGCAATGAATATTAGTGTTATAATTTTAAAAAGCTATTTTCTCCACAATAAATATTTAAAAAACAAAAGTAAGTGATCGGGACTACCCTGGTGGGCCAGTGGTTAAGACTCCGTGATTCCACTGTAGGGGGCACGGGTTCGATCCATGGTCAGGAAACTAAGATCCCACATGCTTCATGATGCAGCCAAAAAAAAAAAAAAAGATAGTAAAATTTTATAAATAAATAAAAACAAAAATAAATGATTAAACATGTAAGATAGGCAATGTCCTCTAGATCACTCTTGTTTGCTGGTTTTTTGTTGTTGTTTTGTTTTGTTTTTGTTTTACCTTCTACCCAGATTTGACATTGTTTTTTAAGCATTTACTGCATATTCAGCACTCCTCACTCTTTGGATAGTTACATTAGTAGTAGAAGGTAAAGTCATTTCCTCTGGGATCTTGCAGTCTATGCAGAGGTTCAACATTTGCCTCCCAAATATGAAACTAGAGCTCATTTAACTTTATTTTATTTTATTTTATTTTTGCAAAAAAATACGCCAGCTAATCACTACTTCTTTCTAGAGCTCAGCTATGGGAATTATTTTTATTAAGTATAGTTCCTATTAATAAAGAAAAGGAGAAATTTTAAAAAGAAATGAGTAGAATGATTTCTTGGAAAGGAATATGAAACAGTAAAACTTCCTTTTGAAACAAAGGTGATTGTAAGACCACATATAAGTTATTTGAAAATAATACTAACATTATAATACGGTTAAGGACAGCTTATAAGAACATTTAAACAACAGAGAACTTAATCTTGAATTGAATCAAGATGAAAAGAAAATCACAATGAATTGGTGTGAAATATCCTTATCAGAAAACCACGGAGAAATGTGTACGTCCACATGTCTGAGTTTTAAAGAGTTTGCCCTTTAATCTCACTAATCAATTGGCATTTATTGGGGAAATATAATTAAAAACAAAATATCTTCACAGCCCAGAAAATCCGTCTACAAAGAAAAGAAAGAAAACAATTGTTATTATTGAATAAGCATCAACCAGAATGCGATTCACATGTCGGGCCATCTGCTAAGAGATGGTGGAGACCGAAAGTCACCTCACACTCACAGCAGAGAGGGTGAAGCCCATGGTGTTAGGTTGGGTTTGCAATTTGCAGTCGGGGACAGCTGACGTTAGGCCCACCTCCTCCTGGGAAAGTGGGAGATGGGGTGATATCTTCCTTGATGCAACTTTCTTACATATGGCTCCCAGGTTCTTGGGAAATACTCCCGAGTTGTGAGACCAAGAAGAGGTTTATCTAGCCATTAAAAGGATTTACATACAAAGTGTAGTGGAAAAACTGAGGACATGGAAAGGAGACGTGACCCATAGGCCAGAACCCCTCTGCAGAGCAAGGGGCTGGCACCCCTCGGCAAACCGAGGGCTAGCCAATAGACCAGAACCCCTCTGCAAGGCAAGGGGCTGGCACCCCTCGGCAAACCGAGGGCGGGCGAATAAGCCAGGACTGCAGGCAGTCCTGGATACTTTGGGCACTGATCCATGAAATGACCTCAGTATAATCAGAACACAAGGAAACGTCCGTGTGCTACTTTAGTATAATCAGAATGATGGGAACACAAGGAGATGTCCTTGTGCTGCTTATGAGCTCAAGGTCGAAGCACCGGCATGTCTTCAAGAAAGCCCATTGTTGCTTGTATAATAAATAAAAGCATATGTTGCTGCTTTGGCATTTCTGGAATGTTAAGAAAACTAAGTCTTAAGATGTAAACATAGATAATGCTTAAATAAAAGCTACCACAGCAGGACAGATGGCGCTGTTTTGCCTGAGCGAGCGGCAGCCCTCTACTGCTGTGCTTCGGCACAATTCATCTCGAGTGATGAGCTTGCTTTCGGAAACCCTGTCATAAGATAAACTGCAACAACAAAGCAAGACATTTTTAAAGAAAAGGGAAAAGTAGGGGGGTCTTTCCAGCAAGAATTAAGCCTCTTATTTGCCCTCACACATACTATGGGGTAATTTACCAACTCAATTTACATCCAGTAATGAGCAAAAATAAATAAATAAATAATTCAGTAATTCTGGTTTATAGTTTTTCCTTTTTTGGCAAAACAGAAGAAATACACTCTTTTCTGATTGCCCGGACCAGGGTTTTTAAAGTGTGGCACTATTAACATTTGGGGGCCAGATAATTTTTTGTGGTAGGAACTGTCCTGTGCACTCTAGAATGTTTAGCAGCATCCGTGGCCTCTACCCACTAGATGCCAGTAGGACATCCCCTCCCCCCAACCTATGACAACTAAAAATGTCTCCAGACAGTGGCAAATGTCCCAGGTGGCGTGGGGATGAAAACCATCCTCCATTGAAAAGTCCTGGCCTAGACAAATTATCAAGACACACAGCCCAGATAGTTGAGCCCAGACTGGGCTGGGATGCCAATTGAAGCCTTCCGCTCTCACTCCATGAGCCACACCTGTCTGATTCATGTTGCAGTAATGTTTGCTGTGGGCTGAGCACTGCAATTCTTAGAGGAACTTAGTCAGTCCTCTTAGTGGAAGACATCTCTGACCAGCCCAGAGTCAACCTCTTTTTTTTTTTTATTAAAGTAAAACAACACCTTAATTGTCTTTCTCAGTTAGTCCAGGGAGGGGGGTTATGACCCAAACCATTGTAGCTTTAGGGGTTGTCTCGTATCCAAGGCCTAGTCAATTGCTTATCCTTCTAGCCACTATGAAAAAGTGTGAAAGAGGAATTCTTTTTCTTAGCTGTGAGGATGAGCCTGACTGAGAATGGAAGCAATTCAGGGGAAAGCAGGATTAAGGTAAAAGGAGACAGTATCCTGGGGAGAAAATTTGAGTCCTGGATCTAGCCATGCCTGAAGGCATCTTCTGAATTGTTTATGTGAGCCATCAAAGACATGGATGCAGTAAGCCAGTGGCACACAGCACTCACAGACTCTCCATGCTTTCCTCTTTTTCCAAATGAATCAGGGAGGTGGAGGTGGAAGAGCTTGGGTTCTTAACATCCTCTTCTAATCTAGCTCAGAATTGTGCTTCTATCTCTGCTCTGAAGTTCCTCTCCTAATCACTTTTGTTATAGTTATTTACACGGATGGCTTCTCTCTGCTACTGAGCTACATGTTTCTTAAGGACCAGATCCTATCAGATTCACCTTTACATCCCCTGCAGCACACAGCTGCCCCTCAGTAGAAAGTACAGATTGTGTAAAGCAACTTCAGCAGGTACCAAACTCTGTGATCGACATGTATCTTAAATTGATGCCCTTCTGGTTTCCACAGTAAGATTAGAGGGAAATTTTCAGCAGTGTTCAGATTCCGGAAGCTGGGCCTGTTTATTCCCCCTTAGCCCTCTGGACTCCATCTTTCCTTTCTGTCTGTCTTCCTTATTCATAGTTATGGACAGACACAATGGCCAAACAGCTCAGTTGTCACTTTCTTTGCCAGCCAGTCATGTTTCTTTGCATTTGAGAGACCTCCACCATGCATGAAAACTATCAATATAATTTTATGTTGGTTTATAAGTAACACCAAATTGACGTGCTTAAATACCCAAATAACACTTGGAAGCCTCTTAACTCACAGTATGGATGTGACAAGTGGCCCCAGAAAAAAGGAATAGAGCTCATTCTTTTCCAAACAATTTGAGTTACCTATGGAACTGTTACCAACCAGGGTTCTTGGCCTTCCCCAATCAATAGAAATTGATAAGAGGCTGGACAAGACATTCAGGCGAGGCTTAAGTGGGGTCCCTGCTGCAGCAGTGGGGAGCGAGAACAAACAACAGTTTCCCTTGCTTGCTAGCTCCCTGGGGGAGGGGTGAGGCAAGCTTGTTTCTTATATGGGGTGTGGGTAGGGGTGTGTCCAGGGGTCAGGCCAGAGGGGTGGCTTAGGTGTTTTGCCCACCCCTTAGGTGGTGTTGTGTGCAGGGGGCATGAGAAGTACCTTGCTTTTGCTCCCAACACCCTGTTTTTGCTCCAGGCTCTTCAAAAGCGGCAGTTGGGTTTTTTGGTCTCTTTGCATTTTTTGGGTCCAGAATTTGGCATGCACGCAGTTACTTTTAGTCCCATAGAGTTTCTTTGTATTTTGTTGCTCAAGGAGAGGTGTGTCCAGGTCCAAGCACTGCAGCACTGCAGCAAAGGGTCCCAGGTCCCAGGCTGTCTCAGAACAATTTCCCTACAGTTCCAGCAGAGGCCAGTCAGGGCACCTGTTTCCAAGAGTAGAATTCAAGCTTCTCATTCAACAGAGATCACTGAAGTTCACTGTGGAGAAGCAGAAATCTGGGATGGGATGCCTTGATCTTAGCCTGCTTGGTGGCCTGCCTCAGACACAGGAACTCAATTGACCACTGTGTATGAATGAAACCACTAGCCATTATGAATCAGGAACATGCCAAGTATGCATTTGGAATAAATAATGGGAAAGATGCTTTCTCTCTGCTGAATTGACAAGAAAGAGGTTTCAGCAGCATCTGCTAGAATCTGCTCATTTCGCAGGAAAAGATAACAAAAAGGTCACCTCACAAGTCAGCCTCCACCGGAAGTATGCACTGCCCTTGGTAACAGAAGGGCAGACGCAGCCACAGCCGAGCTTGTTCTTCTGCATGTGGGACCATTTGGTGAGGCAGCACATCATGCTCACCTTTTTCTATGTGTGGATTCATGTCCTCTTTATGTGCTTCTCTCAGGAACTTTCAGCTTCTCCTGCAAGAACACGTGTTCCTCCAGTGAACATCTTGGCAAAGGTGAGACTTTTTGGCAGCGGGGCCATTAACGATAGTAGGTGCCGGCGTAAATCTAGGAAGCCAGGGCACAGGGGAAGGCTGTGACCCAATTACTGACAGCTGTTAGAGCCTCGTTTCTCTGCATTTTAGTTTCCCCAGCAGAGTGGCACAGACACCACCATCATTAACATTTAATTTTGATTTAGTACGTCTGCACAGGCTGGAACAACTAAAGTGCAGCCTGTTGCCTATAAAAGTTCAAGCCCCCTTGAGGTCATTCTGGACCGCACCTGCTCAAACCCAAGTGGTTGGCAGACAAAGCTTTTCAAGGTCGCTCCAGTTTCTGAAGGCTTCCTTCTGCTGCAGGAGTTCTGAAAGGTGAACTTAAGAGCTATGTGAAGAGCTGGAATAACTCATGCAAAACCCCCTTCCTACTCCCCTGTGATCACGCTGAGAAAAAGAACCAAGAACTAATATTAAAGACCAAGGTCTAGGTTTCATAACGTAGATTGAAGGAAACCAAATATCAATCTTAGTGATGGCATGTTTTAAAGTGAGCTAAGTGGTGCATGTGGAACAAACCTTGGAAAGTGACAAAGATTCTCTTCTTGACCAAACTTTAAACGGGCTCATCTGAGCCCTCTTTTCGACCAGGCCTTAACTCTGGCCTAGAAAAACTGCAGCCTCTCAGCACAAATGATTCCGTCCCCCCACTCCCCGCCCAGTCCCAAGCCCCCATTAAAAGATTTGAACAAACACTAACATAGCTCCTAACAGCTCAAGGCTGCACCCCTAGGATGACTCTACTCCCCCCTTAAACTGTCTGCCTGAGAAAACTGCCAGGAGGATTACTGTTTGTTCCAGCCCAAACCTGGTAATAGACAGGCCCCTGCACGGCCCCCATTCCTGTTTAGTAGGCTCTGGGGGGCTTGCTCTGACTTACACCACTACCTCCTGTCATACAGATACTAGAAGCTTGCTTCTCCTCTGGATAAGCACCAATCAATAAACCCAGTCTCTGCTGGAGGGCCCGCTCTTTCCCCTCCTGTCCCCCATTCTTCCTTGAAAATGCCCATCACCTCTGCACTTAGTACTGAATAAATTCTATCCTTAACGCTTTACCTAGTGTCCAGCTTATGTTTCACAAAGCTCAGATCTACATTTTCTATCTGTCCTCGGCAGCAAGGACTAGACAGACAGATCACAGTGCTAACAAGGCCAAGCTTATGAACTTGATCTCCATATGGCTCTGTCCATATTGTGGTCACACGTGTCCACCCGTCAGGTGTTTCACCAGGGCCTTTCATTGATCACAAGGTGAACCAGATGAGCACGCAGAGATGGCTCAGCACAAATCATTTGCTGCTGCTTTTTTGGTTCCTCATTACTGCTTTAAGAGTGCAAATATACAGATGGTGCTTGCAGCCTTCACTCTGTATAGCTCAGCTAGAAGAGAACCTTCCTGTTGTCGATCATGTTCTCCCCTCTCCCACCCACCCTTCTCCCTCTGTCTCAGACATTCCCATCACCTCCCACTTCTGTCTCTAGTGCCTATAAGCATTTATCTCTTGTACACTGTGCTTCATGATGTAACCATCAGTGGCTCATGGTTCATGTATTTATGCTTTACTGCGCCTAAAAGCAACAAGAACCAAATATTCCCTCTTGTTTTCCACCAGCGTCTAGCATCAGGCTAAGCACATCAAAACTATTCACTAAAATGCATGTAAATATTTTCATTGAGCTTTCAGATGACTTTGACAAATTTCAGCAAAATGATATTGAATTCCTTCATCATTTCTAGGATGGGCAGTAGACTCTCAAAGTGCTTACACATTTATAAAGTAAACTAGTGTTATTGTACTTCATGTAGAGTGAGTAGTCTTGTCTGTAGATTTTTTCCAATTTTATGTGTGATCATACAGTAATACTATATTTAACTACAAAGAAGGATCGTTTAGCATGCAGCATTACAATAGCTAGTTCTTTATACTTACATTGCAGTTAGCCTACATTTTCCTAGTTTTATACATATCTCTTTATCATGATAACATACTTTTATGCCCCTTTGAAGACAGAAAACAAGGTCTGGGGAAATATCATAGACTAGATGGCTCATAAAACTCCTCAGAAGTTAGGGATTCAAACTTCCAATCTCTGTGGTAATTGGATCTTTTTTGTTGTCATTTTGTTTTAGTCAACTAGGGATAGGACTTTTTTACTTAAGTTGTTGAAGGGAAAAATAAAAAGAAATCTTTTTACTGGAGAAAATGCAATTAATAAAAATGGTAGGGGTACTTCCCTGGTGGTGTAGTAGTTAAGAATCCACCTGCCAATGCAGGGGACACAGGTTCGAGCCCTGGTCCGGGAAGATCCCACATGCTGCGGAGCAGCTAAGCCCGTGTGCCACAACTACTGAGCCTGCACTCTAGAGCCCACGAGCCACAACTACTGAGCCTGAGCTCTAGAGCCTTCGTGCCACAACTACTGAAGCCTGCACACCTAGAGCCCGTGCTCTGCAACAAGAGAAGCCACCACAATGAGAAGCCCATGCACCGCAACAAAGAGTAGCCCCTGCTCGCCGCAACTAGAGAAAGCCCGCACACAGCACCGAAGACCCAACGCAGCCAAAAATAAACAATAAATATATTTATTTAAAAAAAACGCAGGCATTCACCAGTTAATTTCTATAGTTTTCAGGAACACAAAATAATCCTGTCAATGGGCCTAACACATTTAACTGAGATTGCTCATATGCTAAGATCCAGAAGGGGTCCTGCAGAATGGTAGCTCCCCAATTGTGTTCCAGGCTATTTTCAGATGTGTTCGTTTCCTATTGCTGCTGTGACAAAGTACCACACATTTAGTGGTTAAAAGCAACACAAATTTATGTTACAGTTCTGGAGATCAGAAGTCTCAAAGGGTCTCAACAGGCTAACAGCTGGTGTCAGCAGAGCTGAGTTCCTTTCTGGAGGCTCTAGGAGAGAATCTGTTCCCTTGCCTTTCTCAGGTTCCAGAGGCTGCCTGCATGCCTTGGCTTGAGGCCCCTTCCATCAGTGTATTAACTTGTGCCGCCAGGTTCACATGTTTTAGTGCAGCCCTTAGACTAAAGCTTCTACTGCCCTCTCTGTGCATATGGATCATTTTGGGGAGGTTTAATCATCTAATACGTTTGGTTCAGCTGGAGCAAAATCACTCATTTCCTCTAGAGTGATAGTTTTAATTCTAATAGCAAATTTTTTATACATTACAAACATCCTGAAAGAGATGTATGTAATTCTCCTGAAAGAGAATTATCACATCTTTAAGTTTTACTCCAAGTGACCACATATCACTTGGGTAACCACTTACTGAAGAAAAGGATCAAAAGACTATTTTAAAAACGAAAAATGAAGCATGCTAATTCATCACATCAAATTTGTATTTTTAATCACTTCATAGGATTTTAGGCAGGACGAGGGGCTATTACATTGATATATGCTGTCTGCCATCTTGATCAACTCCTTTCCAAACACACATAGGGTAGCTTATAATGCAAATAAACACAATCAAAGAAAGAATTATCAGCATGACCTAGGTGTGACCTAGGCTCTGTCTCTTATTAATGGAGTGATCCTGGGCAAGCCACACTTTCTTCATTTGTAACATAGGGTAAAAAACAACATGTACCTCAGATGGCTGTAAGGAAAACAGTGTGGAATTAAAAAGCTGTAGTATTCTTGTGTGGGAAGGTTCTTACGAATGGAAGCAGAAAGCCCAGGAGAGTCTTACATTAGTCCTTCCTGAAAGGACTGAAGAAATATCAGTTTTGATATTTGTTGAGAGGATAGCTGGGTTTGAAACGCTTAAACTTGACCCAAAATTTGATGTACCCAATAGAAAAAAAAAAATCCTTTTTTCTTTTTTGGTGGTGGTTATTTAAGCTTATAATGCAAATCCAAAGAAGCCAGGACATTATAAAGATCTTGGTGAAATTAAACATTCTAGAAATGGGCAAGTTTGAAAAAAATACAAAAAGGAAAATTTTTTTCCTTTTTCCAGGACTTGCTGAAATTTTAATGTCTTGAAGCTTGATACAAAGGAACTGTGGGTACACTCCTTGGTGCTTCATGCAGTCAGATGATACCATCAAAAAGTCCACATTCAAATCTTTTCATTTACCTAGAATTTAACTTGGTTTAGGAACATAGGTAGAGATTCAGCTTAATATTTTCCTAAAGCATGAGATAGCCACTGTTTGAATTCCATTCACTGAGTTATCCATCTTCTCCACTGTGACTCAAGTGTCACCTGTAGTAGCTACTGATTTCTATGCCTACCACCCCTCCCCTCCAGCTTCTGAAAAAACTAACACAAAACAAAAACTCTACACCCTGGCCACAGAGGTGGGCAAGGGACCAATTAGACCAATGAGAATCCCTCCCAGAAGCTTCTCTACCTGGAATGGCAGCAGAGAGCTCATTTTGCTTTGATCTTGAAGCTCTTGAGTCAGTCCAGAGTTGCCTGACAAAGAAGAGGTGGCAAGTCCTGAGGTGCTGAGTCTCCGGCTCCAGTTGCTCCAAGGCCAGTTCTATGGCTGCTATGGTTTGAGAATGTGGCTACTAAATTTTCTTTTTTGTTTAAGCTAGATATACCTGAGTTTCTATCAATCAAAACTGAAAAACCATGTTTATTATATATTATATATAAGTTCTTAAATGTTTTTGAATCTATTTTTACTCTCCACTCTGTTCCCACTAATCTACTTTTCTCTTCTTCTCTACAGCTGAACTGTTTCAATTTCTTTACATTTTAATATCTTTCAGGGCTAATCGTCCATCATTACCCTTGGTTACAGCCTTTCAGTTGGATTGACCTAGAGAGACACTGATTGGGGGAGGGGGAGATGGTCCCAGACTGCAGGTACAGGTTTTCTAGTTTCCGTAAAGGTACCCCTCCAACTTGCCATCTCGAATCTTAAATTAATAAGTTGGGATTATTGATCAGTCTCTTATAAATTGGTTAGCAAGAATCAGTGCTCACTTAGAGACTTGCTCACTTGAGCAAACTAACCATACTGGAGTTTCTAGATTTTACAACACCGAAGGCTTAACTATGGACCTCTGGGGCACACCTCAGTGGCTGTACCCAAGCAGCCAGTAGGTGGGCCAGCTGCTCTTTTACAATCTTTTTAATTGCAATAAATGGAATATGTGCAGTACAGCCCAGGATTCTACCAGGACATTAGGATGCCCTACTGTGCCTCATATGGAGGGGTGAGGTGTGACAATGTGATGTAATGCTAGGGACAAAATCAAGCAAGGTGAAAGGGACATTCAGGAAGGACAAAATGGGAAAAATTCTACGAAAACAATACTGTATATTGGTAAGGTAAAGAGACTTTAGATTGGGATTGGCTGGGTCTGAATCCCTGCTCTGCCACTAACAGTACGTGACCTTGGGCAAGTTACTCTAATTTTATCGGCACCACTTTTCCAACAGCATTTGCTCACTTTGTGTCTTTATGTCACATTTTGGTAATTCTAACAATATTTCAAACTTTTTCATTATTATTATATTTGTTATGATGATCTGTGATCAGTGATCTTTGATGTTACTACTGCAAAAAGATTACAACTCACTAAAGGCTCAGATGACAGTTAGCACTTTTTAGCAATAAAGTATTTTTTATTAAGATATATACATTGTTTTATTTTACACATAATGCTACTGCAGACCTAACAGGCTACAGCAGAGTATAAACATAACTTTATATGCATGGGAAAACCAAAAAATTCATGTGACTTGCTTTGCTGCAATAATTGCTTTTTGTGGTGGTCTGGAACCGAACCCACAATATTTCTGAGGTGTGTCCATATCATAATGGTCTATAATGGTAAGGCACAAAGAACTTAGACTGTGGATCTATTTGCAAAGTTTCCAATGGATGTCTCTCAGATAGGTGAGGAAAACTTTAACTAAACCAGTTCAGTACTTATAAATATTGCTAGTTATTACTTTTTTTCTAGTTTAACCAGTCATCTACATTCGAACTATTAATCTGAAAAGGGAGGGAGGAGAGCCAATATTTAAGTTGTGTTTAAAGAGAATCTTTAAATTATTAATTTGAGTAGAATTCCGTTTTCACAGAGGTTCTTACTTTGTGCAATAAACTGGGGTAGGTGCTGTGTGGATACAAAGATGGTAACAAAGGTCTTGGCCCTCCAGGAGATTTCAAACTAGTCACATTAAAAAAGACATGGGGAAGGAGGAACCAAGACGATGGAGAAGAAGGACGTGCTCTCACTCCCTCTTGCGAGAACACCAGAATCACAACTAGCTGCTGGACAATCATCGACAGGAAGACACTGGAACTCACCAAAAAATACACCCCACATCCAAAGACAAAGGAGAAGCCACAATGAGACGGTAGGAGAGGCGCAATCACAGTAAAATCAAATCCCATAACTGCTGGGTGGGTGACGCACAGACTGGAGAACACTTACACCACAGAAGTCCACCCACTGGAGTGAAGGTTCTGAGCCCCACGTCAGGCTTCCCAACCTGGGGGTCTGGCAATAGGAGGAGGAATTCCTAGAGAATCAGACTTTGAAGCCTAGTGGGAATTGATTGCAGGACTTCGACAGGACTGGGGGAAACAGAGACTCCACTCTTGGAGGGCACACACAAAGTAGTGTGCACATCAGGACCCGGGGGAAGGAGGAGCAGTGACCCCATAGGAGACTGAACCAGACCTACCTGCTAGTGTTGGAGGGTCTCTTGCAGAGGCAGGGGGTGGCACTGTTTCACCGTGGGGACAAGGACACTGGCAGCAGAAGTTCTGGGAAGTACTCCTTGGCGTGAGCCCTCCCAGAGTCTGTCATTAGCCCCAGCAAAGAGCCCAGGTAGGCTCCAGTGTTGGGTTGCCTCAGGCCAAACAACCAACAGGGAGAGAACCCAGCCACACCCATCAACAGTAAAGTGGATTAAAGTTTTACTGAGCTCTGCCCACCAGAGCAACAGTCAGCTCCACCCACCACCAGTCCCTCCCATCAGGAAACTTGCACAAGCCTCATAGATAGCCTCATCCACCAGAGGGCACACAGCAGAAGCAAGAAGAACTACAATCCTGCAGCCTGTGGAACAAAAACCACATTCACAGAAAGACAGACAAGATGAAAAGGCAGAGCTATGTACCAGATGAAGGAACAAGATAAAACCCCAGAGAAACAACTAAATGAAGTGGAGATAGGCAACCTTCCACAAAAAGAATTCAGAATAATGAGAGTGAAGATGATCCAGGACCTCGGAAAAAGAATGGAGGCAAAGATCGAGAAGATGCAAGAAATGTTTAACAAAGACCTAGGAGAATTAAAGAATAAACAAACAGAGATGAGCAATACAATAACTGAAATAAAAACTACACTAGAAGGAATCAATAGCAGAATAACTGAGGCAGAAGAACAGATAAGTGACTGGGAAGACAGAATGGTGGAATTCACTGCTGCAGAACAGACTAAAGAAAAAAGAATGAAAAGAAATGAAGACAGCCTAAGAGACCTCTGGGAAAACATTAAATGCAACAACATTCGCATTATAGGGGTCCCAGAGTTGAAGAGAGAGAGAAAGGACCAGAGAAAATATTTGAAGAGATTATAGTTGAAAACTTAACTTAATGAAAACATGGGAAAAGAAATAGCCACCCAAGTCCAGGAAGAACAGCGAGTCCCATACAGGATAAACCCAAGGAGAAACACGCCGAGACACACAGTAATCAAATTGGTAAAAATTAAAGACAAAGAAAAATTATTGAAAGCAGCAAGGGAAAAATGACAAATAACATACAAGGGAACTCCCATAAGGTTAACAGCTGATTTCTCAGCAGAAACTCTACAAGACAGAAGGGAGTGGCATGATATACTTAAAGTGATGAAATGGAAGAAACTACCACCAAGATTACTCTACCCAGCAAAGATCTCATTCAGATTTGATGGAGAACTCAAAAGCTTTACAGACAAGCAAAAGCTAAGAGAATTCAGCACCACCAAACCAGCTCTACAACAAATGCTAAAGGAACTTCTCTAAGTGGGAAACATAAGAGAGGAAAACCCCAAAAAATTAAGAAAATGGTCACAGGAACATACATATCGATAATTACCTTAAATGTGAATGGATTAAATGCTCCAACCAAAAGATACAGGCTTGCTGAATGGACACAAAAACAAGACCAATATATATGCTGTCTACAAGAGACCCACTTCAGCCTTAGGGACACATACAGACTGAAAGTGAGGGGATGCAAAACGATATTCCATGCAAATGGAAATCAAAAGAAAGCTGGAGTAGCTATACTCATATCAGATAAAATAGACTTTAAAAAAAAAGAATGTTACAAGAAAAAAGGAAGGACACTACATAATGATCAAGGGATCAATCCAAGAAGATATAACAATTATAAATATATATGCACCCAACATACGAGCACCTCAACACATAAGGCAACTGCTAACAGCTATAAAAGAGGAAATCGACAGTAACACAATAATAGTGGGGGACTTTAACACCTCACTTACACCAATGGACAGATCATCCAAAATGAAAATAAATAAGGAAACAGAAGCTTTAAATGACACAACAGACCAGATGGATTTAATTGATATTTATAGGACATTCCATCCATAAAACAGAAGATTACACTCCCTTCTCAAGTGCGCATGGAACATTCTCCAGGATAGATTACATCTTGGGTCACAAATCAAGCCTCAGTAAATTTAAGAAAATTGAAATCATATCAAGCATCTTTTGTGAACAAAACACTATGAGATTAGAAATGAATTACAGGGAAAAAAACGTAAAACACACAAACATATGGTGGCTAAACCATACGTTACTAAATAACCAAGACATCACTGAAGAAATCAAAGAGGAAATCAGAAAATACCTAGAGACAAATGAAAATGAAAACATGACAACCTATGGGATGCAGCAAAAGCAGTTCTAAGAAGGAAGTTTATAGCTATACAAGCCTACCTCAAGAAACAGGAAGAATGTCAAATAAACCATCTAACCTTACACCTAAAGGAACTAGAGAAAGAAGAACAAACAAAACCCAAAGTTAGCAGAAGGAAAGAAATCATCAAGATCAGAGCAGAAATAAATGAAATAGAAACAAAGAAAACAATAGCAAAGATCAATAAAACTAAAAGCTGGTTCTTTGAGAAGATAAACAAAATTGATAAACCATTAGCCAGACTCATCAAGAAAAAGAGAGGACTCAAATCAATAAAATTAGAAATGAAAAAGGAGAAGTTACAACATATACCACAGAAATACAAAGCATCCTAAGAGACTACTACAAGCAGCTCTATGCCAATAAAATGGACAACCTGGAAGAAATGGACACATTCTTAGAAAGGTATAACCTTCCAAGACTGAACCAGGGAGAAATAGAAAATATGAACAGACCAATCACAAGTCATGAAATTGAAACTGTGATTAAAAATCTTCCAACAAAAAAAAGTCCAGGACCAGATGGCTTCACAGGTGAATTCCATCAAACCTTTAGAGAAGAGCTAACACCCATCCTTCTCAAACTCTTCCAAAAAATTGCAGAGGAAGGAACATTCCCAAACTCATTCTATGAGGCCACCATCACCCTGATACCAAAAGCAGACAAAGATACTACAAAAAAAGAAAATTACAGACCAATATCACTGATGAATATAAATGCAAAAATCCTCTACAAAATACTAGCAAACAGAATTCAACAACACATTAAAAGGATCATACACCACAATCAAGCGGGATTTATCCCAGGGATGCAAGAATTCTTCAATATACGCAAATCAATCAATGTGATACACCATATTAACAAATTGAAGAATAAAAACCATATGATGATCTCAATAGATGCAGCAAAAGCTTTTGACAAAATTCAACACCCATTTATGATAAAACCTCTCCAGAAAGTTGGCAGAGAGGGAACCTACCTCAACATAACAAAGGCCATATACGACAAACCCACAGCAAACATCATTCTCAATGGTGAAAAACTGAAAGCATTTCCTCTAAGATCAGGAATGAGACAAGGCTGTCCACTCTCACCACTGTTATTCAACATAGTTTTGGAAGTCCTAGCCACGGCAATCAGCGAAGAAAAAGAAATACAAATTGGAAAAGAAGAAGTGAAACTGTCACTGTTTGCAGATGACATGATACTGTACATAGAGAATCCTAAAAATGCCACCAGAAAACTACTAGAGCTAATCAATGAATCTGGTGAAGTTGCAGGATACAAAATTAATGCACAGAAATCTCTTGCATTCCTATACATTAATGATGAAAAATATGAAAGAGAAATTATGGAAACACTCCCATTTACCATTACAACACAAGGAATAAAATACCTAGGAATAAATCTACCTAGGGAGACAAAAGACCTGTATGCAGAAAACTATTAAGATACTGATGAAAGAAATTAAAGATGATACCAACAGATGGAGAGATATACCATATTCTTGGATTGGAAGAATCAATACTGTGAAAATGACTATACTATCCAAAGCAATCTACAGATTCAATGCAATCCGTATCAAATTATCAATGGCATTTTTTACGGAACTAGAACAAAAAATCTTAAAATCTGTATGGAGACACAAAAGACCCCAATTAGCCAAAGCAGTCTTGAGGGAAAAAAAATGGAGCTGGAGGCATCAGACTCTCTGACTTCAGACTATAGTACAGAGGTACAATAATCAAGACAATATGGTACTGGCACAAAAACAGAAACATAGATCAATGGAACAAGATAGAAAGCCCAGAGATAAACCCACGCACCTATGGTCAACTAATCTATGACAAAGGAGGCAAAGATATACAATGGAGAAAAGACAGTCTCTTCAATAAGTGGTGCTGGGAAAACTGTACAGCTACATGTAAAAGAATGAAATTAGAACACTCCCTGTCACCATACACAAAAATAAACTCAGAATGGATTTGAGACCTAAATGTAAGACCAGACACTATAAAACTCTTAGAGGAAAACATAGGAAGAACACTCTTTGACATAAATCACAGCAAGATCTTTTTTGATCCACCTCCTAGAGTAACGGAAATAAAAACAAAAATAAACAAATGGGACCTAATGAAACTTCAAAGCTTTTGCACAGCAAAGGAAACCATAAACAAGACAAAAAGACAACCCTCAGAATGGGAGAAAGTATTTGCAAACGAATCAACGGACAAAGGATTAATCTCCAAAATATATAAACAGCTCATGCAGCTCAATATTAAAGATACAAACAACCCAATCCAAAAATGGGCAGAAGACCTAAATAGACATTTCTCCAAAGAAGATATACAGATGGCCAAGAAGCACATGAAAAGCTGCTCAACGTCACTAATTATTAGAGAAATGCAACTCAAAACTACAATGAGGTATCACCTCACACCAGTTAGAATGGGCATCATCAGAAAATCTACAAACAACAAATGCTGGAGAGGGTGCAGAGAAAAGGGAACCCTCCTGCACTGTTGGTGGGAATGTAAATGGATACAGCCACTATGGAGAACAGTATGGAGTTCCTTAAAAATCTAAAAATAGAATTACCATATCATCCAGCAATCCCACTACTGGGCATATACCCAGGGAAAACCATAATTCAAAAAGACACATGCACCCCAATATTCACTGTAGCACTATTTACAATAGCCAGGTCATGGAAGCAACCTAAATGCCCATCGACAGACGAATGGATAAAGAAGTGTGGTACATATATACAATGGAGTATTACTCAGCCATAAAAAG